GGCTGCCTCTCCTCTGTCGGGAGCTGGACCGGTACCGTTTGGATCTCTGTGGTATTCAGGAGGTCCAGTGGACCGGTTCTGGCTCCTGCCACCATGAGGGGTGGACAGTCCTCTACTCGGGGCAGGAGACTGCCAAACAACACGGAGTGGCTCTTCTTCTGAACAAAAGAATGAAGGGGGCGTGGGAGCGTGGCGGTGAGGTGTGGGAAGCTGCAAGCCCCAGGCTACTTTGGGCTCACCTTCCCATCAACCAGAGGCGAGGAGTGGTGGTCATGGTTACTTATGCCCCCACCGAAGACGAACATCCGTGGAGGGATGCAGGCAAGGCCGATGAGTCAGATGCCTTCTATGACCTCCTGTCACAGGTGCTAGCTAAAGTGGCCCCTCGGGATAGAGTCATCTTGTTGGGTGACTTCAAGACCCGAGTTGGTCATGACGCTGGCACCTGGTCTGGAGTGATTGGAAGGCATGGGCCAGATCAGCTCAATAACAACAACAGGAGACTGCTAGATTTTTGTGCAGCCCATGGACTTGTAATTACCAACACGCTGTTCCGGCATCTGCGCATCCACACAACATCATGGATGCATGCCGGGTCTAAGCAAGAACATCTGCTGGACTACATAATTATGGAACAGTGGATGCGGGCCCATGTCCTTGAAAGGATGGGCCCGCTCACTGACCATCGACTTGTTATCTATAACATGCGCCTGCCAATCTTCCACTCCAGTGGTAGGTGTACACCCAGGACCCCATTCAAACCCATAGTGGCATGGTCTCAGCTAGCTGATGAAAGTTGCAAGCGAGAATTTCATCATCGATTGCGGCTGGGGTTGGCATCGTCCCCCACTCCTGTTGATGTCGAGGGGAAATGGGCGAATTTAGGATTGTGGCTCATGCAGCTGCAATGGCTGCTTTTGGTACTCGGTCCAGACCTCCCCAGAGACTCTGGCTGAGAAGGCGTTCAGGCTGGCTGAGAAAAAGCGACAGGCCCACTCTCATTGGCTACAGCATCCCTCGTTGGAGAATGAGGAGGCTTACCGCAGCCTTCGCTCAGAGGTTCGGAGAGCCATGAGGCGCTGCAAGGATGGGTGGTGGTCGCGGGTTGCTGAGGAGATGGAGTCTGCCTCAATGGCCCGCGATCACAAATCACTCTCTAACTCCATCAAAAAAGTAACCTGCAGCACCATACCTATTACCATCATTAGGGGAAAGAACAGTGATCCAATCTCCGACCCCCAGGAACAGGTTTGCAGATTTTCTGAGCATTTCTGTGAGGTCCTGGGGGAGGGAAAATCCCTCAGCCTGGAAAACAATGTGGAACAAAGTGGGGATGACTCTGCTGAGGCTGCGGTGACTCAAATATTGGAAGTCACCCCCTGTGAGTGGCTGGCTGAAGTGCCATCTGTTGAGGAAGTACTGAAGGCGATCCGGTGTCTGAGACCAGGAAAGGCACCGGGAAGAGATGATCTGCAAAGCAAAATGCTGAGGGTGGCGTTTGTGCAAAGACAGCCCTACATGACATGATAACAACAGTCTGGACCACTGGACGGGTTCCAGAGGATTGGAAGGATGCCCTGGTGGTCCCCCTCTTTAAGAAGGGGGACTGCACAGACTGTAACAACTACAGGGGCATCTCACTCCTCAGTGTGCTGGGAAAGGTCCTGGCAAGGATTATTCAACATCGCCTTGCTAGGCACGCTGAGGAGCGGCTTGCAGAGCCCCAATGCGATTTCAGGAATGGGCGGTCCTGCACAGATCCCATATTTTGTCCGTCTGCTACAGCAGAGGTGTAGGGAATTCCAACAAGACCTACATCTCTGCTCTATTGACCTGGTCAATACCATCAGTAGGCCTGGCCTCTGGGTTGTTCTTCGTGCTTTCGGAGTCCCTGACCCTCTGCTCACGATCATTAAGGACCTTCATGATGGTGAGCGTGCCTGGGTAAAACTACGTGGCCAGGAGTCAGAGCCATTCCCTGTACACCTTTGGGTGTGATAGGGATGTCCTCTGGCTCCCACATTATTTAACATCTATTTCGACCACGTAGTGTGCCGAAGGAATTTCCATCTGGTACAGATACAATGGGAGACTGATTGATGCCTGAGTGCGGTCCAGGGATGGCTCCCTATGGCTCAACCATGTTATATTTGCGATGATCTGGTAATTGCTGCTCACTCAGAGAAGGAGTTGGAGGCGCTGCTGCTGAACCTGGAGCTTGCCACTAAGAGGTGGGGCCTTACCATCAGCCCCACCAAAACTAAGCACCTGCCTGGGTATTTTGGACCATCGGACACTCCACCCCCACAACTCCCAATCGGTGATGGGGCAGTTGTGGAGAGAGTGGAGAGTTTCCCATACCTGGGTAGTGTGTTCATGACCGGCTCCGGTTTGACAGTAGAAGTCTAACTCCGAATCAATAGAGCGGCATTATCTTTTCATCGGTTGCGTAACGCTGTGTGGAAGCTACCTGGTCTGTCGCTCCGCATGAAGCTTCAGGTCTTCTCGGTCACAGCCATTCCTCCCTTCTCTACGTTTGCGAAACGTGGACCTGGGTCTGCCCCGTGACCTCGTGCCAGCGGGCGTTCGACACTTCAAGGCAGTTGTTGTTGTTGTATACGCCGCGTGCAAACGTCGTGCTGGGTCACGCCGATGTTAGACGGGCGAACACGGGGACCACGGCCAAGATAAATAATTAAAGAAGAGAGCTGTAATGGAGACAGAAAAAGGGAGAAGACCCGAGGATTGGAGGAAACCCAAAGGAGATGTGTTCAGCGGGAAATAAGGAGTGGAGAGAGACTGGTGGAAGGTTCCAGAAGTGGGGGATAGAGAGGAGAGATAGAGGGGTCTGGATCAGGAGCACGGGGCTCCGGGATAAGATAAGTGGCTGAAGGAGTTTCCTTCGAGTGCGGGTCATTGAGTGCCAATTATTGCGTCACTGACTGCGGGTTACCGAGTGTGCGTTACCGGAACTGTTACCCGCACGACTTTTGTGGACTCTCTTTCACACGTACTGCCATTCACCGTAACTCGACATCATTGGCCCATCATACGCATATCCTTTACGTGGGCGTATGGTACGTGCTTGCCTGTATGTGTGTGTATGTAGATACCCTGTCTTTATATGTACACGTGACCTGGCATTGCTAATATCCTTACGGTCGAGTCGTAATTATTTTGGGCACCGGTTGAATTTTGGCAACTTGGTGCCACGGCACCAACGTACATCGAGCCCCCACGCTATTGCCAGTGATGTCCCAGAGTTTGTGGTAATGCCTATTAAAAAAAAAAAACACTTATCTCTAACCTGTAAGAGGCATATCATTATTATTATTAAATAAATATGAGTTAATAAATAATTTGTAAAATATATTTCTTTAGAAAAATAATAAAACAAAAACATTAATATTAAAATAGAGATTCAATATTAAAATTATACAAAGCAAATAAATTACATATTTTTGTGTTACAAAAATTAAACTTAAAAAAATATACAGTCCAGTATATCTGGTGTATATATATACACCAGGGGTGTTATGTGTATTCTGATCCACGGAATGTTTCAGCTATTTCTGTTAATATCAACATTCTGCAGGCAGGTGTAACGGGAAGGGTTTGCACTATAAACACAGCAGTGTCACAAAACCCTCAAGTGGCGTGGGAAACGCGTCGTTAAAATTCCTAATATCATGAAATGCAACCCAGAATCTATGACAGTGATGGACAACCCAGAATCTGTGACAGTGATGGGCGACCCATAATCTATGACAGTGATGGGCAACCCAGAATCTGTGACAGTGATGGGCGACCCAGAATCTGGGACAGTGATGGGCAACCCAGAATCTGTGACAGTGATGGGCGACCCAGTATCTGTGACAGTGATGGGCGACCCATAATCTATGACAGTGATGGGCAACCCAGAATCTGTGACAGTGATGGGCAACCCAGAATCTGTGACAGTGATGAGCGACCCAGAATCTGTGACAGTGATGGGCGACCCATAATCTATGACAGTGATGGGCAACCCAGAATCTGTGACAGTGATGGGCAACCCAGAATCTGTGACAGTGATGAGCGACCCAGAATCTATGACAATGATGGGCAACCCAAAATCTGTGACAGTGATGGGCAACCCAGAATCTATGACAGCGATGGGCAACCCAGAATCTATGACAGTGATGAGCAACCCAGAATCTATGACAGCGATGGGCAACCCAGAATCTATGACAGTGATGAGCAACCCAGAATCTGTGACAGTGATGGGCAACCCAGAATCTGTGACAGTGATGGGCAACCCAGAATCTATGACAGTGATGGGCGACCCAGAATCTATGACAGTGATGGGAAACCCAAAATCTATGACAGTGATGGGCAACCCAGAATCTGTGACAGCGATGGGCAACCCAGAATCTGTGACAGTGATGGGAAACCCAGAATCTATGACAGTGATGAGCAACCCAGAATCTATGACAGCGATGGGCAACCCAGAATCTATGACAGTGATGGGAAACCCAGAATCTATGACAGTGATGAGCAACCCAGAATCTGTGACAGCGATGGGCGACCCAGAATCTATGACAGTGATGGGCAACCCAGAATCTGTGACAGTGATGGGCAACCCAGAATCAGTGACAGTGATGGGCAACCCAGAAACTATGACAGTGATGGGCAACCCAGAATCTATGACAGTGATGGGCAACCCAGAATCTATGACAGTGATGGGCGACCCAGAATCTGTGACAGTGATGAGCAACCCAGAATCTGTGACAGTGATGGGCAACCCAGAATCTATGACAGTGATGAGCGACCCAGAATCTGTGACAGTGATGGGCAACCCAGAATCTGTGACAGTGATGGGCAACCCAGAATCTGTGACAGCGATGGGCAACCCAGAATCTATGACAGCGATGGGCAACCCAAAATCTATGACAGCGATGGGCAAACCAAAATCTATGACAGTGATGGGCGACCCAGAATCTGTGACAGTGATGAGCAACCCAGACTATAGCCAGTGGTCCACGTGAGCGGCCCCTCCTTCACCTCAGTGGGCCACAAGCTTGACATCGTGGTTGTGCACTAATCATGACCCCACGCATAGCCCGAGAGACACACTGAGATCAGGCCACCGTGAGGAGCTCCACAGGATGCAGGTTGCCCACCACTGATCTACGAGCTTGTAGAGGCCACGCAACTCACTAATGCATTGCAAAGGATTGTGGGTATTATGTTAAAAAACGATCAGACGTGGCTCTTCTGCATGACGGAATAATTATATTAGATTTTAGTCCATCGGCCTATCGGGGTTCATGTACCAGAGTTTTCCAGCAGTATTTGTCTATGCAGGCAAACTCTGGACAGGCTTCAAGATGCCGAGTCTCACCAGCAGAGTTAGGCCCGTTGCTGCTCGTTTGCCTGACTCTACTAATTACACTTAATCCGCAAGAGCTGTAATATAGACCACGCTAATTAAAAAAAACCCAATTCGACAATGGGTTTGTTTGTGTAGTCACTGGTAACCGGGTTGAGACGTGAGAACCTGGTTTAATTATAGGTCGGCTGAAACTCACGGTGGAACCCAAGATCTCAGCATTGCCAGTCACTGCTCCGACGCAGTTATCAACCCCCTTGGCCAACTGACTACTTCCCTGTGCGGGTTGCCACCTCTCCCAGTTTACCCAGAAACATCCTCTCAGATAGCTATCCTGGGAAATCTATCAAGCCTTCCCAGGGCATTAAAACCGTCCTCTTTGTTGCAAGCTGCATAATAATACACCACCCAAGACGATGTGTTTACGTGTGGACCTCCCCACATCTGGTATTGTGAGATATTCCGCCTCTCGGGGTATGTCCCAGTCGTTTGGTACCTTGAGGAGGTGGCAACCCCCACTTTCCCCGGGCTGCCGTGAAGTTCGGCACCCCTGGCTTACACGTACGCAGGTACACGGACGTTGAACTCCTTTCGCACCGCGCATAGCCGACCGTGCCAATCGGAGGCTAACACGGCGCGACCTCGCGAGCGCGCGATCCCGGCAGGGCTTGGCGCGCCGGCGTTCGGCTCAGGGCAGCGCGCGCTGCGCCGGCGAGGAGACCACCGCGGACCTCTCGGCCGCCAGCTCGCGCTCGTACAGCAGCAGCTGCCCCATGAAGCTGAGGTTGGGCGCGACGGCGGCTCGCCGGGCGCGCACGAAGGCGTAGGCGTCCGACGCGCCCAGCCCGCGGATGCGCATCACGTAGGCGATGGCGACGGTCGGCGAGCGCGACACTCCCGCCTGGCAGTGCAGCAGCACGCTGCAGCCGCAGCGGCGCGCCTCCTCTGCCGGAGGGGGGGGGGAGGGGGCGAGACGAGCGGCGTGAGGAGACGACGACGGCGGCGAATGAATGGGAGAGCGCGGAAGTAAAAGCAGGCGATGTGGAAGGGGAGAATGGAACGAGAAGACGAAGTAGGAGGAGGTGATTGGAGAAGAACAACTGGATATAGGTTACGAGAAGAGGAATAACTGTATCGGAATAAGAACAAGAACGCCGCAAGAGGAACGGGGAAAATGGAGAAGAGAAGGAAAATGAGACCTGGGAGGAAATTGGTGGAGGGATAGGAGAGCAGGAGATGCATGGAGGACAAATCGGAGAAAAAAGGTAAATAGAGAAGATCCAGAGAAGAGTTGGAGCAAATTAATGAGAAAAATAGAAAATAAAACAAAGCAGCTGAAGATAAACAGAAGATTAAGAATATAAGAAGCAAATCAGCAAAGAGCAACAGAAGAATAGCAATGAGATGGCATCAGTATAGAAGGATAAACTAAACGAACTAAACTATTTTTATTTTACCAGGTAAGGCCCACTGAGCTATATACTGTTGCTCTTTTTCAGAAGCGACCTGGCCGCAAATGGTAGCCCAACAAAGTGGCTTATTGCGTGGAAATCAATTGCAGCCAACATAAGAACAGACGGGGAATTGCAGAGGGAGTAACGGAGAGAGCAAGAGAACAATAAAACAGAACGAACCGGACAGGAGCTAATGGGAAAGCCAACGAGCCGGAGAAGGAGAACACGAGAAGAGGCAAAATAACCGCGACTCTCCCTCACGGCGCGACCGCTCACGCCTCGCCTCCCCTCTCACCTATGAGCAAGAAGGCCGGACGGAAGTATTGGCGCAGGTCCTGGCCGTGCGTGTCGCTCGCCGGCAGGCGGCGGTACGCGATGCTGCCGGCGCCCGCGTGGTAGTGCGGCACGTGCGCCGTCACGTTGAGCACCAGCCCCACGTTGAGGCGGCGCAGGGTCGGGAGGTCGCGCGCCGCCCGCTCCCCGCCCACGAACAGGTACGGCAGGAGTCGGGACACGTCGCTGCTCTCCTGCGAAACTTCGCCGCCGACGGCTCCGGCCGCCGCCAGAAACCCCTGGCTCCGCGCGGTGGTGGCGGTAGAGGAGGTGGCGCCGCTACGCTCGTCCAGCGGTGCGGATGAGCGGAGGAGTGCGCCGGCTCGACCGTTGACGTGGGCGTCAAATGGCGACGTCGCCTCGGAGACGTCTTCCACCCCATGGTGTTCGCAGAGAGATTCGTGCAGCGCCCGGAAGTCGCTCAGCCCGCCTTGATTGTCAGGGTGGCAGAAACGGGGGAGGGCAGGGTGGGGGTAGAATGACAGAGAATATCAGGGTGGTGATGATGATGGTGGTGATGATGGTGGTGATGATGAGCGGTTGATGGTTAGAGGTAAAACTAGACCGCCAAGATCTCCAGTGTGTTTTCGGGTTGTGCTGCGTTGTTGTTCGGTATGCTGTCCGACGTTTCGTTCGACGTGCTGGCTGCTTCTTCAGCAACTGAATTTCGAATTCATGAAGCAACATGTCGGACATCACGGCGAGCGGCATGCTGTAAGGCCCGTGAAAACTACGCAACACAACAGCGAAAAACCTACGCGGGAAGGATAGAGCAGCAAGTGACTGTACAATAGTGTGTGGTGGAACGGCCTTGTAATCCAGCGCTTTGGAGACAACAGGTGCTGAATCACATAGATCTGAATAACTCCTATACCCAATGGATGCGAGGTGACAAAGATACAGCAGTACAGAAAGTAGGTTCAATAATCAATTTTCAGACAAATGCGTGTTATCCCCTTGTACGTGTGGGATTTCTCCATGTAACTCGGTGAACACAAAATATATTATTGTGGACACATGGATTCTGTGATGCATTTGTGTTTGTCCTCAGACGTAAGATGACCCATTCCAGTTGACTGGTGACTAGGCTGACGATCTCAGCCCGGTCACGAATGAGACCCCAGTTTAACCGCAGACGCCTGTCTGGATTCGAACCTAGCTCCTCAGCCATGCCAGCTCAGCGTTGTGACCCCTGAACCATCCGGCCAACTCAAGATTCGAACATGACATCCTCAAAGTGCGAGTCGATAGCTCACCCTACCAACGATGCCACTCGTTCGGACATTAACTATTTAAATTATTTGTAATAGACCAGCTAAGGCCCACTGAGCTATTTAGCTCTTTTTCAGAAACAACCTGATCATTACTGATAGCTTAACGAAGTGGAAATTGATTGCAGCCAAATACCCAGCTCTCAATGCATGTTTCTAAATGTGGAGGGGAAAACCGGAGGACCCAAAGAAAAATCCACGCGACCACAGGAAGAGAGACACGCAAACTCTAAATATACAGCAGCAGGTGTCAGGGTCGGGATCGAACCCACGACCTCCTGCATACCTGGCGAGGTATTTAACAACTCGCCACCATCGATCATCGACTGACGGATGATCAGGGGGAGCGAACGCCCTCCGTTGCAACCCTCGTTCGTCGATCGATGCTGCGCGTACCTCTAAGCACAAGCGGGTCGGCCCCCTCCCTCCGCAGGCTCTCCAGCACCAGCTTGAGTGCCGCTGCGGGGTCTCCCGAGCTGCCGTCGTAGAGCACCATGTCCCGGCGGGGCGGCCCCGCCGCCGCCACCGCCGCCGCCGCCGCCGCCGGCGCCGACGTCGCCGAAGCCTGCGCCGATCCTCCCGCCGCGTCCCCCGTGGCGCCAGCCGGACCGTCCGCCGTCCCCGCGGCAGCGGGACACACGAGCTGGGTGACGCGCAGCTTGCCCTGCGCCAGGCGCCGGCGGGAGAGGCGGTCGGAGCAGTTGACGTGCAGCGCCCCGCGGATGTGCGAGCGCGTGTACTCGCCGAACGGGCGGCAGTCGAGCAGCATGGGAGGCGGGGGCTCGGAGCAGCGCAGGCGCTCTGCCAGCTCGTGCGGCCAGATCGGGACGTAGTCGCATGCCGCGCCGCCGACACCGCTGCCGCCGACACCGCCACTCGTAGCGATGCCACCTCCACCACCAGCACCGGTAGCTGCAGCGGCAGCTGCTGCGACACCGGCGGGGCCGCCAACTCTCTCCTCCCTCGTCTTCTCGGCGTTGGCTGCTGCTGCTGCTGCCGCCGCCGGTGCTTTTGACGACTTGGACGATTTGGCCAATTTCGATTTGGCCGACTTGGAGGATTTTGACGTCGCTCCAGACACTGCTACAGTGGTGCTGGCGTTGGGAGGCAAGCGAGTGTCGCTGCTGGGCATGGCGCTCGTCAGTCGGGTGCTGGCCGGGTGTGGAGGCGACGGCGACGGCGGCGTCGGCGTAAGGTACACTGGCCAGCAGGGGTGCGAAAGCTCGGGTGGCTGTGCTGGGTGGTGGGGCTGTGCGGGAGGAGTGGGCATGGACTTGCGGAGGAGCAGCGCGGGAGGCATGCGAGGGCGTCGGTGGAGCCTAGGACACACAAAGATCCATCTGTGTAACCTACACAGACTGTTGGGTTAAGTGATGTAAGCAAGCTCCTATTAAGGCCAAAATGGCACACAAGGTGATTGGTGTGGTCAACACCATGCAATGGTGTTTACACACTGCACCAGGTGCGTATTTAAGGCCGAGTTGACCTATGGGAGGCCCAGGACTGGCTCAGTTATTCCAGTCGCAACATTTGTTGCATCATTTCTGTTCATCACAATTTATAAATATTGTAGAAATTTGAAGGCACTTGGTGCTAAAATCGATCTTAGATCTCTCCTAACCACTCCCTGGCTTTGTGTTGCACGCGGTCCCGGGAGAACTGGCAGGGCAATGACACAAGCGCGGCAAAAGAACGAGGGATAGCTCACAAGTGCGCCTGCTGTCACAAACCTTAAAGCACGGGGCATACACAATAACGCCGTCATTCACCGAGGGCATCTCGGATATTCGCCATTGTGAACTTACTCTCGAACTTACTCTCGAAACACCCCGCTTGTCGTAAGAAGGCGACACAAGCAGACGTGTGTCAGCGCGAGTTCGGCGCGTCCTGAATTATCGACGAGAAATAGAAATGCGGCAGCCATTAAATTGAGGAAGTCGCCCTCCAAAATGTTTTGCCATATTACTCACGTGAACTTAGTTTCCCTACAAATGGTGACAAGTGCACGGAGTGGAACAACGTGGAAGTCCAGAATGAACACCACATTCGAGAGGCAAACTTTGCACGTCCTGGCTCTGACATTCCTCCTTGAAGACGCTGGTTGTAATCATCAACCGCATCGGAACATCAACAGGCTGATGCGCATCTCGACTTCATGAATGTTAAATTAAAGACGTGCCACAGTAGTGCGATTGTGGCCATGCAGCCCAAACTATGGACTACACAGTCAACCCATTGTACTCTGCGCTCCTTCAATGGAGGACGAACAGCAAAACGACAACTCTCTCTCTCCTGAAGCCCTCTCATCGTGGCCAGCAGCAGACCCTCAACATCAGACACTTAGCTCCTGAACATATTTCCGTCATATCCAAGTACACTGCATTATGAGCCTGGCGTCCTGAGTTCGATTCCTGGCCACGGCCAGCGACAAGTGATATCCACCCCCCCGCCCCCCTCCCAAAAGAATAATCTCCACTAGCACACACTGACCAGCATGGTGAAGTACGGTCAAACAGCATTCATGGACAACATGGTGGAGGAAGCAGTAAATGTATTATTAATGGAGTCCATCAAATGGTTCTTAGCTAAGGTATAATAACGATAACAGGTCACCTCGTTATTTATAAGACAACAAATTTTAACAACAATATAGGAAATGTGCTCGTCATATTATCTTGAAAGCGACACAGCAATCGGCATGCATGTGTTGTGATATAAAGCAGTTTTTAAGACAGCTTGTGTTACGGTAACAATGTGGCCAAGGCAGGCACCATCTTAGACAAGATTGAAGCCTATGTGCAAGTGTTGCGGACTGGTTATTAATATATATTTTTGTATTGCTTCTTAAGGTAATCGGTTGACTTGCAAACATGCTTGCGGGGTGATGAGTGAGGTGCCGTGGTGGCGAGATGTTAACTACCTTGCCTGGTATACAGGAGGTTCTGGGTTCGATCCCAACCCTGATGCCTGTATATTTGGAGTTTGCATGTTCTCCCCATGGTCACGTGGATTTTTCTTCAGGTCCTCCAGTTTTCCCCTCCATATATTGGAAAAACATGCGTGTAGAGTATTCGGCCGCTATAAATTTCCACATAAGCCACTTCGTTGAGCTATCATTTGTGGCCAGGTCACTTCTGAGAAAGTGGGCCTTAAGTGGTGAAATAAAAAAATACATTAAATAGTTCAACAGCAGCTGATAATGAAACCAGAGCGATCGGAGAGGAAAGGTTTCACAGCACACACAGCACTCACAGCACTCACAGCACAGATGTAATTCTATGAGCAAATGATATGCAATTTCAAATAATACATTACAGTAATTATATTTCACAAAAATGTTACGTGTTTTATATTTCAATGTGAGTACCGCATACGTCTATGCAAGATGTTTTAGTTAGTATATTGATTTACGTGTGTATGTTTTCATAGGTCAGCTCAACACGGGATGTAGACATAGATTTTTCATAGATCACTGAGGGTGACATAATCATGTCGACACACGTACGTCAACATAACACAACAAGTGTTCCCCATTTCTCTACCAAATGAGGAAACACAATAGGACACAGTTGGCTTTTTTATTTACATAAATTAGAAACGTTTGTACTGTTCATAAAAAAAACACGAATAAAGCACTGAGCCAAAACCACTGAGATCCTTGATTCAGAGCCACGTTTCAGCCACCTGCGATTAAACTGTGTTCTCACACGCAGTTTCAGTTTATTTATTTTGGTATAGCCCTGTGAGCCATTCGGCTCTTGAATCTGGTGCAAGCACAACAAACAAAAAAAACAAAAACACGAACAAGAAAAACATCTTAAAGTGACTATGTGACTGTGCGAACAGGGTATCAGCCCAGTCATCACCAGCCAGGATCATTCTTAATTGAAAAATTAATTTCTTTCTAACTGCTTTTTGTGTTTAGTTTGTTGTCCTTCCCGCACACCTCCAATTCGCACGGTTGGCTACGTACGGTGAGAAAGAAGTTCAACGTACATACATTCAATTATTCCACTTCTGGGTGAAGGACTCCCCAAGGCTGTCACCAACCTCTCACGAATCTACGATGCCACCGATGCCCTTAGCTGCCGCTCCGTCGTTATTCTAATGACGTGTTCTGCCTAGGCCCATTTACTTTTCTTCACAGTTTGAATCAACAATTATTTATCCTGCAATTGTTCTCTTATCCGTGTGCTCCCCTTTCTGTCTCTCATAATTCCGAGCATACGTCTCTCCTTCACGCTTCTTGGCAACACGTTTCAGTTTGTTACATTTTCATCATTTATGACCTACGTTTCTGGGGGGGGGGGGGGGGTTCACTTCAATAAAACGTCACCTCTGGGAGTACAATAAATACATATTTTGACTGCTTTGCGACCGGCAGTTGTATACTCCAGGATGCGGAAGAAAGTGCAGTGCCACTAGCATGAGTGTGCGGACACGTCAAAGGGATCTCAGAAGTAGTTACGTAATATCACCTTCTGCGGGCTATTTCATAAATCTGTGGATGACTGTTCTGCGACGGTTCCGAATTGAGTCGCTCACGACATGACGCCGATAGCACGTTTGGAAATCAGGCTCCCGTGAAAAAGACCAAAAAAATTACGTATTTTTAAAAAACACAATTACATTTCCGAATAGATGAGGTTTGAAAATACTTATTTAGCAGCTGCTTTGCTCAGAGCGTTTGACTCACAATTTCAAGACTGCGAGTTAAAATCTTTGTTTGGGTCATCGGCTCAGTTCATGATTCACGGACGACCATCAACCTCCACCGCAGTGCTGTCCTAACCTCGTCAACCAGCATCTCCGATTAGCACGGTTGGCTACATTCAGTGCGAAAGAAGAATGGATACTATGGGTATAGGTACTATAATAACAACAAACACCATCAGCCCGACACCACAATCCAAAATTCACCACGGAAATGTCAAATTTCCACCACTAGTTGAGGGCTGGGTATGGATATGAGCGCCACTCCAATGAATGACTGTGCCCTCCTATCAATGGTACTATAATAACTATCACCACAAACAACAGCAGCATGACACCACGATACAAACCGCAATATCACCACCACCCGGCACCACTCGCATAGCACACAAACACTACCTCTCTGACCCCACTACCACAATAACTACAAAAACACTTCAGACACTACTACCACAAGCAATTACAACAACCACTATATATACCATCATTATCCATAACGGATGTCACCACACAATAAAAATGCAGCCCATATACACTACCGCCACCAACCACAATTACAATACACCAACATCAACAGAAAAGCACCACCACAAACAATACCGAATTGGCACGCCACTCCAACAAACAACGACATTTACATGAGACCACCAGTCTCAACCGCAAACAATACCAAGCTAACGGCACCACATTAACCATCCCATACCATTCCAACCACGATTTTAAAAGATACCAATCCCAAGACCACCACAATCCCATAATCGAAACAACACCAGTGGCAAACCCGTTACAACCACAACCAACACCACCCTGAAACCACCATCACTGCCACCTCAACCACAATTACACACAATAACACCACTCACACACAAAATATCACCACCACGCTCACAGCATCGCTTCAATCGCATTGACACCAACCACCACAACCACAACAATAATCCTAACACCCTGCCACCGCCATCCCACAACCACAACGGCCACCACAATCAACAAAACATCATCTTCAACCATGATCAATCCACGACTGGATGAAGGCCTGCTAACCCCCCCCACCTCCATCTGTGCTGTCTCTACCACTGAGACGGGATTATGGGGAGCAGGCGAACACACGTAAACACAGCCACAGCAAGCCGCTCTGAAACTCTAACCACAAACAACATCAATCACAGCCACACCACCGATACCAGCACCCATGATTACCTCGCCACCAGCACCACCAACAGCACCACCAGCAGCAGCGGAGGAGGAGGAGCAGCAGCAGGCCTCTGGGTAGTCGAAGGGCAAGGCCGCCACAGGGCAGCCCTCCTGGCAGAGAGAGGAGCCCCCCCCCCCGGTGACCCCCACGATGTTTATTATTAAAAGGCGGCGGTGACGGCGGTGGTGGCGGCGCTCCGTTGAATCCTCCTCCAGCACGGCCCGGTGACATCATCGGCAGCCAATGGGAAGGGGCGGGTGGAGGCGGCGTGTTACGTAAGAGCAGCCTCCATCCATCCTCACTCCCTCCTCCATCCACCCTCATCATCATCCTCATCCACCCTCCTCCATAATTATCCATCCATCCTCACTCCCTCCTCCATCCACCCTCATCATCATCCTCCTCCCTCCCTGCCCCTCCATCCTCATCCACCCTCCTCCATAATTATCCATCCATCCTCACTCCCTCCTTCATCCACCCTCATCATCCTCCCCCCATCCTCATCCATCCATCCTCATCCTTCCTCGTCCATAATTATCCATCTATCCGCATCCTCCTCCCTCCCTGCCCCTCCATCCTCATCCATCTATCCTCCCTCATCCTCCCTCCTCAACCATCCCTCCATCCTCCTCCTCCCCAACGCACACAGCTGTCACGCCGGGCATATGTCGCAGCAGCAGCAGCAGCCCCCTACTAAGCCACACACAGGCTAATAAACGCACGCGTACACTGTTCACAGATTATTACTCACATTGTAATACGGTATTACAACACACACCGCAGCTACACACCAATATTGTATGACACACAGACAACCGTACAGTACTCTACGATGTATACACTCAACACACGATAGCATATTATACACACCATACAATTCAGCATAAGCTACACGCGATACAACACAGTATTATACACACACAAAGACAAAGATCCCCCGTATAGCCTTAACAGACTGTAGAGGCAAGTGCTGTTAGCAAGCACCTATGAAGGCCGGTAACGGTACACGAGGGGGTGGGTGACCAGCACCACGCCCGACCGCCTTTGTCTCCCTAGTGGCGATGTTTACTACACACCGCACCAGGTAACTCATTTGAGGCTGAGTCGACCTAGGGGAGGCCCAGGACCGGTTCAGATAATCGCCACTGGGTGTTGGCCGTGAGCGGGAATCGAACCCGGGTGGCCAGGTTCATAGCGCAGCGTAGCGCTAACCACTACACTACCGTTCCCCACACACACCACATTTAACACACACTCCTACAACCCCACACTACACAGCCAATTCAAGACAGCACACACTACCCCATACAATACACTGCAGGATAACACACACACCACATTCAATAAGGCAGACCACACACACCACACACAAATGTGCTGTTACACATGTGTTGGGTGTGTGTGGAGTGTGATATACACACCACATTGTCACATTTTACACCCCCCCCCCACACCCACATATGGCACAGCTGAATAAAAACACTGCCCACCACATTCAACACACCCCAGCATACGGCAGAACGCGATACACGCATGTTGAAATCAATACACACCCAGCACACCCGCTCCCATGCAACACTACACACGCTACGCACCCAATTCAACAAGGCACACTACACGCACACACACCTCATTCAAAACACCGCACTCCACACACAAACCTCATTCAACACAGACTAATATGCACACCCCAACCCCCATTCAGCCACAGAATATTCTATTGCTGTGCTCGTTAATGCATTCTTTAAAATGGTGACATCCTTTCAATCATTTAGATCCGCTGGACATTTTAACGTGTTGCTTAAAAGCTTGTCTAAAATTATGTATTACCTGCTGACCTAGAATTGTGTGTTTTTTTATATTTAACCATCTCGGGGTTTTTTTTTCTTCCTGAAAATGTTTGGGCGATGGTGAAGTGAAAATTGTCATCAGCACCGACCGACCTGCGTTGTTTAAAAGTTATTAAGTACACAGACGACTGATGACGAAAGGGTGGGGAGGTGTCAATTCGAACGAATTAATGCAACGTTACACCCAAATTTCACCCATGGTGATTTCTCGCCCATGCCTGAGAGCCCTCCTTGTGTATTGGCTCTTATAGTCTTGTGCACGATGGCAGCAATACATTGTTTTTGCTGAATGCCAATGTCGATGTCTGATGGCTAAGACCAGAGGGCTTCAGGAGGGTAGAGTTCGTGTGGTGTTACTGTTCCTTCAGAAAAAAAAAACTGGTTTACTCTACGGTCCATAGTTTGGGTTGCATGGCCACAATCTCGCTGCCGTGGCTTGTCATTAACGTTACGAAGGAGATGTACGCCTTGGCCTATTGATGTCAAAGCCAGGAGGTGCGAGGTTTGGGATTGAGTTGTTTATTGTGGACGTCCGCGTTGCACTTCTCGTCGGCGTTCTTGTGGATCTGGGTGAGATCCTAGTGTAACGACTCTGACGACGATGTTCTAAGAGCCACTTTATTGGGACACAGCCACAATACGAACCCGAGGTTTCGTTCTTGCCTTCAGCTTGTAATTTCCTCCCCTTTTATACTCCCCGAGCCCCTTTTCTGAAACCGTATTCTCCTTGTTTTTTTTTCCTTAGCCAATCCCTGTCCTTCCCATCTAACGGATCCTCTCTGTTTTCGGCTTAATCCCGTTCAAATCTTATTCCTCCAGTCCCTTGAAAAGTCTGCCTCCCGAGCAATCACCGTGGAGGCCTCTTTCTACCAATCGGAGACCTTCGTTTATTTTCAAATAATCGTTAAGCTGCATATTGGCTTTGGGTTAATTTTCGGTCATTCCACTTGGATGGTGACAGCAGCACGATCCTAGAAGGGGGATCGGAGAATTGAGTCGACACGTGCTTGCTGCTCTGCTGCGGACTTCGACGCTCGCCTCTCATTTCTTGCTCCAGTGCCCAACTCACCAATCACCGTCTCCATCTCTGAAGCTTTTACAGTTGTCCAGTCTTGAGCGAGTGGCTTAAACTCCCCGTTACGACGGCGGGTGGTGCTTCTGTTCCACGGGACAACTGTTGACGTTCCACAAAGTAGAACCCACTTCATTAACCACGTAGAGTCGGATTGACAATGGGCGTTAACTTGGGTAGTAAAAGTCCGAATGATTCTTCTGAGATAGTTTTTTTTTTACTTTGAACTCGCAAACCTTCAGATTTTGAGTCAAACATCCTGCCACAGCGTCACTGGGTCGGATCGCTTCAGTAATAATGTTGAGTGATATGCTGCACATTGATTACATATATAAAACACACACTTAATCGAACATTTATTATACACGTTCAATTTTTTTTTAATTTTAATATAATAAAGCGAAAAATACTGAACAGACCGTTTTGGCTTGGATTCAGGAATACGTACAGTGAGGGCAAAAAGTATTTGATCCCCTGCTGATTTTGTACGTTTGCCCACTGACAAAGAAATGGTCAGTCTATAATTTTAATGGTAGGTTTATTTGAACAGTGAGAGACAGAATAACAACAAGAAAATCCAGAAAAACGCATGTCAAAAATGTTATAAATTGATTTGCATTTTAATGAGGGAAACAAGTATTTGACCCCCTCTCAATCAGAAAGATTTCTGGCTCCCAGGTGTCTTTTAGCTCGTTACCTGTATAAAAGACACCTGTCCACAGAAGCAAACAATCAATCAGATTCCAAACTCTCCACCATGGCCAAGACCAAAGAGCTCTCCAAGGATGTTAGGGACAAGATTGTAGAACCTACACAAGGTTGGAATGGGCTACAAGACCATTGCCAAGCAGCTTGGTGAGAAGGTGACAACAGTTGGTGCGATTATTCGCAAATGGAAGAAACACAAAATAACTGTCAATCTCCCTCGACCTGGGGTTCCATGCAAGATCTTACCTCGTGGAGTTGCAATGATCATGAGAACGGTGAGGAATCAGCCCAGAACTACACGGGAGGATCTTGTCAATGATCTCAAGGCAGCTGGGACGATAGTCACCAAGAAAACAATTGGTAACACACTACGCCGTGAAGGACTGAAATCCTGCAGCGCCCGCAAGAAAGCACATATACATGCCCGTCTGAAGTTTGCCAATGAACATCTGAATGATTCAGAGGACAACTGGGTGAAAGTGTTGTGGTCAGATGAGACCAAAATAGAGCTCTTTGGCATCAACTCAACTCGCCGTGTTTGGAGGAGGAGGAATGCTGCCTATGACCCCAAGAACACCATCCCCACCGTCAAACATGGAGATGTTTTTCTGCTAAGGGGACAGGACAACTTCACCACATCAAAGGGACGATGGACGGGGCCATGTACCGTCAAATATTGGGTGATAACCTCCTTCCCTCAGCTAGGGCATTGAAAATGGGTCGTGGATGGGTATTCCAGCATGACAATGACCCAAAACACACGGCCAAGGCAACAAAGGAGTGGCTCAAGAAGAAGTACATTAAGGTCCTGGAGTGGCCTAGCCAGTCTACAGACCTTAATCCCATAGAAAATCCATGGAGGGAGCTGAAGGTTCGAGTTGCCAAACGTCAGCCTCGAAACCTTCATGACTTGGAGAAGATCTGCAAAGAGGAGTGGGACAAAATCCCTCCTGAGATGTGTGCAAACCTGGTGGCCAACTACAAGAAACGTCTGACCTCTTTGATTGCCAACAAGGGTTTTGCCACCAAGTACTAAGTCATGTTTTGCAGAGGGGTCAAATACTTATTTCCCTCATTAAAATGCAAATCAATTTATAACATTTAGACATGCGTTTTTCTGGATTTTGTTGTTGTTATTCTGTCTCTCACTGTTCAAATAAACCTACCATTAAAATTATAGACTGATCATTTCTTCGTCAGTGGGCAAACGTACAAAATCAGCAGGGGATCAAATACTTTTTTTCCCTCACTGTATACAGTACCTACGTGAGCTAAGCGAGTTTTTAAAGGTTATAAAACCGTACATGAAATTTGGAACTTGTGTGCATTTTTCTAAATTCCAACATGTTCAATATGCAATATTAACAAATGCATGAACGTTAACGAAGCTGTATTGCAAACAGACAAACTACTACTGTAGTGAGGAAAAGTGAACAACGCACTGTTAGGAATACAGCAAGGATCTGTTCATTGGCTTGTGATGGTTCATTGATCGAAATTTATTCTTACAATCTCAACACACGTATCAAATCGTGCATACACGAATCGGTTGTGCACACACTACATGCTCGTGTGGTTTAATCTAACAACTGAGGGAACGAGACAGAACGAGATGGAACATACGAAACAAAAAAATATAAATTAGTGATGGAATCGTGACCCAGACTTGTGGCAATTCATCGAGCTGCTGGCAGGGTGAATAATTCAACAGCATCGGTCCACACTCCCAGACACTGCCCCATGCTTTGATTTTTAATCCATAATTTACATGGCAATGTATATCGTCAACGGTGTGTCGTGATGGCAGGGGAACCCTCACTATTGGCACAACCTCGTGCCACCGTCAGAAAGGGCCTCGGAAGAGAACCATACAGCACGACCTCTGGATCAATAATAGACCTGATCTAACCAAACACAAAAGACGGTGCTCCTGCATGATCTTCGCATGACATTAATCACCGTCACATTTGTGTTTGTTGGCCTCAGTGCTGTGACGCACCAATTTCAAGTGACCAGCGAAATGCCATCGTTTCTTTTGTGGGCGCAACCATTGGTGATAGCGTAGCCTGTTTTCTACAGCACACCATTCTCTCGTTCCATCGCTCTTGATTTCTCGCACCTCTGATTAGCACAATTGGCTACGTATGGTGCATAGAAAGTTCCAAATACTTGTGTGTCGAGATTCGTATGTGCATGGAAGACGCCGTGTACACCAGACTGTGTCAGCTGGCAAAGTTCAGAGACCCACCATGCCACCCACTTTACTAACGATCGTTTAAGCCGGTGGCTGAGTGACTCAGTGGGAGGTGCCATGACAGTGCACTACCACCAACCCTACTAATCCAGCATCTCAAACACAACTGGAACGAGGACAATTAGGTCGACTAAAACTCGCAAGCGTCCCCCCATCATACCCTCCCGAAGGTGGGAAACCCCCCACGACAGGCCACGGCCAGCGTGACGTGCCTCAAGATTCCATAGATATCACCAAGCCCCGCCCATTACCTCCCGTCCAGCAGCACACAAGTGCAAACCCTGATTTTTTACCCTTTCAGAATAATTTAATGTTATTCAATTCGTCGAATAATGAAACTTCCTGGAAGAGAAATCGATTACTTTCAATCCAGATTGAAAAGTAATTTCTTTAGAACTGCTTATTTTGTTTAGTTTGTGGTCCTTCCCCCGCACCTCCAATTAGCACGGTTGGCTACGTACGGTGCCAAATACGTTCAAAATACATATGTTCTAAAGGCAATAAACCGGCCCCTTTTTTGGCCTTGGAGCAGATAAAAACATTACGCTATATCATGCTTTCTCAAACGCCAGACCTCACGAGCCGCCAGCATGGGTTTTTTTTTATGTTTACCAATCATCAGGTGTGTATAGTTTGTAAGCTGAATGTGCCATATTAAAAATGAAGTCTGGAAAATGTGGAAATGTGTGCAATGTTTTAGTTTTAAGGACTGTATTTTGAGAATCCCTGGGTTTGGAATTTCAAAGGGCGTGAGACGTTAATGCATATCATAACAGAAAAACATTACAATATAGAGATGGAAACGAGTAACTGTGCCAGAAATGATCGAATGTGCTTAATTCAGTGTCACACAGCTGTAATGATAGCTCAGGATATAGGGCTGGCTTTTCTGGATAATCGTGACAGGCAATTAGCTCGGAAGAAAACTTGAAGCGGGCAGCACATTCCAATTTGATAGGGCAGAAAAATGTTCCGATTTTTTGTTACACAGAGGTATGTGACTGCACATCAGCAACTCCCCACCGTTGCTCGTCAAAAGCTCAACAATTTCAAACATTTGCAATAGGACTTTAGATTGGCAGATCAGAAACAATGTTATTAACCTACCGAGACACTCAGCCACTGTACGGTACATAATTAATATTTTAAAGTTTATTGCGTAGTGGTTTTTCTTATTCGCCTCAATAATTTCGTCAGTGTCTCTCCTCTCAACCCCGTGAGAGGCTGTGCTTATCCTCCATTGGCGGTCCAGTGATGGAAATTCCACATTCATATGGCAGGGGTTAGGCTTTACAAAGGACAACCACTGTTGACTACCTTCAAAGTGGCCATAAGGAGCCGTTCGAAATTCAACACAGTATTGCTTCGATTTTTACTGGAGCGTTCATTGTTTTCATGGCGTCCATGAATATTTTCTTGAAGGATTTCCCGACTTTAGGAGGCCGATGCGGTGTCGCCACAACTGTAAATGCAAGCCACAACGAATTCTAGATCAGCGGTGCAGCTATCGAATGTGCAGGCGGTGCAACTGCACCGCAGCCTGTGGAACATAGGGGCCTAGGCAACAGGCTCTAAAGAGGAGTGGGGGGGGGGGTCACACAGGGCCCTAACCATTTCATTTCTTGGAGCAGGGCCCATGTCAACCACACCGTGCTAAATTTCTGCTAAATGTTTACAAAAACAGACCGTCTGTCCTGTGAGCTCATATTTGTCTTCAATATTGTTGACGAAGAAGTTCCATTTAACGATGACCATGTTGACGTTTGTGTGATGAATGGCTTAATGCGGGCTTCTTCAACTATCCATAATAAACGTTTATTGGGTTATATCGCGTACATATAAATGCCTTGTTAAATCCGCCACAACCTGACACAGCCAATTCGTAAGGTTTGTCACGTAAACAAAACGTGTCAATTAGTTACTACTTCAGCACACCGGTGTGTTGGAGAGTAAACCCACAACAATTGCAATTTGAGTACAACGTTTACAATCAGCCTCATCAGGCGATTTGCCACAATTGTGAAGAAGTCTTCCTGTTTCGGTCTTAAATAGAGAAAAGGTGACACATTTATATTTACGCGATCTGACCCAATAGACCCTTTATTATGGATAATATTGGTCGCGAAAGCGAACTACGTGTTAAACTTCATCAACTATATTTTCGGGCAGGCCCCCCAAAAATAAAGGAAGAAACGACCAGAACAATAAACACATCTGGCAGCTAAACACCTTTGCATCGTAGTGTAAATGTGCCTGGTACGCCATATACCGGCACTTCTCAGGACACCAAACACGAGCAAACGGGCACTAATTCACAACGTTTCCTTTGCCTACGCTACGGTCTTTCCGCAGAGGGGGAATGACAGTGAACATGGCCTGCTGCAGGATGAATAGGTTTCACACCGTCGCTTCTACACTCACATTTGCACCACTGCCTATGTTGGCTACCCCCTGACACACCACCTTGGCTATCCCCTGTCACACCGCCTTGGCTACCCCCTGACTCACAGTCTAGACACAAATATTTAGGAGCTGTTTGTGTTTTTGGGCCTGCCTCTTACGTTACGAGCAGCATTAGAGCACGTGGCTCTGACAACCGTGCGGTCGGCGCAGTGATGTCAATTTAGCCAGATGTCAAACCAAACAATCCGACTCTGGGGGCTGTCCTGACCACAATCGGGTTTCTTGTTTCTTCTGCAGTGGCAGTGTTTTGAGAAATAATCCTTCATCTCCAACAAATCGATTTGTTTTTTCCCCCAGAAAAAAGTGAGCGTCTCGACTACTTTGTGTAATCGTCTCAGCTGCAGTGAGGTCCAGTCTCTGGATGGGACGACCCTTTTGTCTGTGCCCAAACACGCGTTGGCTGGTGCTCATAGCAGTTGGTGGTGCCGAGTCGTTGGTGGAAATTCCACCTTCCCATGGCAGGACCCTGTCTTTCCATGGGATGAACACGGTTGACTTTTACACAAAGCGGTACTTATTGTATCGACCCCCTCCCCCAAGGAATGATGATGATGGGTTGAGTCGTCGAATATATAACGTGCTGTGATATGGAATAAAACTCAACCTACATAATTTATAATCAAGTTGCCAAACACCCGAGTAAATAAAACATTTGTAAACTTTTAAATGCATAAATACAACTTATTTGTAAATATTAAATAATGGAAATACACACTAACTACAACTTTCATAAATACATACAATCGCACGACACAAATACGACTTGTGATCGTTAACACTCGGTGTTTGTGTGTCCATGCGGTGTCTGGTTCTGGGACCTCCAATTTCAGCCATTGGGGATAAATACCTTCCACGTTAATACTGTATTTAAAAAAAACTAAACCATGAATGCATGTTTGCAGGTAAGGCCCACTGAGCTACATAGCTCTTTTTAAGTAGCGACCTGGTCACAAATGATAGCTCAACGAAGTGGTTCATCATGCGGACATTTAAAGAAGCCAAATGCTCTAAACGCGTCTTGTTGATTATAAATGTGGAGGGAGAAACCGGAGAACGCGGAGAAAATCCACGTGACCACGGGGAGAGAGACACGCAAACTCCAAATATACAGCAGTCATCAGGGTCGGGATCGAAACTACGACCTCCTGTGTACCAGGCGAGGGAGTTAACATCTCGCCACCGTGGCACCCATGATGTGCAGCTGTTGTGAATTACTGGGTGATTTGGCCCAGAGGCAAGGAACTTCAGTCTAGCAGTCGCCACAATTATAAACCCTTACATTAGGGGTAGGGAATGCATGGCCCAAGGGCCAGACACGGCCCGTGAATTCATTTCATACGGCCTGCAGGCCATGAGGCTTACCACTTCGATAGAAGCCTGCAAATTACATTTATCCATCACCGCAATAATTTTCGTCGCACCAATCGGGCACTGGAAGGGAATATTTTTGACCTGCAACACTGCGTTTATAATCTTGAACTGTGTGCGTTAATCCCTGATAGAGATCCGCAAGCAGCCTCCAAGAGTTTCTAATCAGTCTCGTGTCTTTCGCCACAGCAGCTTTGGTCTTCGTTCCGGCTGCCGAGGATGTCTCATAATCAGCGTTAAGCCACAGCCATCATAGTATTGGGTGGTATTCCACTCCCCGAAAGCCACAACTAAAAAATACTGTTGACATGACCGGCGCTTTGAACACTGTCCAGACAAACGTGGTGCTTCTGCGACTTTTAAACACAGCAGCAAACATCATAATGTACAATTGGTCATTTGAAGGCTTGCACAAATCTTCAGCGTCGCTCCAGCCAATGAAATCGCAATGCTAACATCATTTATATTCAGACAGCTGGCCTAATATCTTGGAAATAAAAACAGCAGCAGCGCAGGCCACCATCATCATCTCACTATTGGGATAAAGACTCAACTGAAGCACAGTTCAAATTATTGGAACACTTCTGATAAATGTTTGACCAGAGCAGCACCCATCATCATCAACCCTCCGCTAAGGTTGAGTCTCAACTTAAATGCTATGAACATGGCGCTTGTGATCAATTTCCAACTTTTAGTAGCAGCAACCGTCATCATGACCATCATCATAATGTTCCTTCCATTGCGGCCAAGACTCAACTACAACATTGACCATTCAACTATGGTGCTTTATGATCATCACGATCATCGTCATAATCATCATTATCGTGGTCCCTCCATTGCGGTCAGCTGCCACACTGTCCAAAATCAGCATTGTCACCCTCACCGTCATCATGTCCGCTATCATCATCGTAATTGTTCAACAAAACAGTATCTATACGACACTGGAAATTCATCATCACCCTCGTCGCTGTCATCACCGACACCGTCGCCGCGGCAATTGTCGGCATCACCGTCGCCCTCGTCGCCGTGCCTCGTTCGCACGACCAACTCCTCAAATCTTGGCCTCGAGCATCTCGAGGAAGAGCTTGTGCATGGGCACGCGGCCCTCCAGCTTGAGCGCGTGGAAGTGCTGCACGGCGCGCGCCGCCGTCTGGCGCAGCAGCGGCAGCGTCATGAGCAGCTTGCCGGCGCGCCGCGGATCATCGCGACGTGCGCCGCCCGCGTGCTCCCACAGGGCCTCGTGCAGCGCGTCACGCAGCCGCTGCACCCCGTCGGCGTCCTCGATGTGTGTCGAGTCTGGGCGGTGCGGAGGAGGTGGTACGGAGGAGGTGCAGGAGACGAGGCGCGAAGGAGATGCGGGGGTGGTGAGGAAGAGGTGCGGAGGAGGTGCGGAGACGAGGCGCGAAGGAGGGGAGAAGGAATGGAGGAGGCAGAGGAGAGATGAGCGGCAGGCGGAGGTGAGACGGAGAAAATCGAGACAGAAGTGAGACGGACAGTAATACGGACATCAGCGAAAGTGAGACAGAGCAATAGAGACGCGGGCAGCTAGGAATTTTGAGACCAGGTGTGAGACGAATGCCAGTAACACCGGCAGCCATCGGCAATGCAAATGGGAAGTTGTTAGTGACTAGGCAGAGGAGGCTATTGAACTCCTTGCCAACTTGGCACACTGGAGGGGTCAATTATAAAGAGACTTTAGGGATTCGCCCCTCCCCACGTGGACAGAGGGATTGAAGCCAAATAGCATCTTGAATACCGAACGGTATGGATGATGATAATTCTCATAATTATTGTGAGTGCATAGTTTTTACTGTTAAACACCTATACATGTTTGAAAAGTTAATCGCTGGAGAGATGCTTAAGCCGACGGAGTGGCTTTAAAATCCCAAATCTGAGGCAGCGATTCGAGCGTTCAATAATTCTGGTTCCCATCCCCAGACAGCAACAATAGCAAGGGAGGCATCGTAGAGACGCCAGCGGCTATGGGGGTTAGGCATCGGCAGTAGAGGCAGGCGGAATTAGCGGAGAGGCAGGTCGGCAGGCGGCGGACACTTTAACAATGTTTATTTTACCAGCTATGTACCTCATAAGCAACCTGGCAACAAGTGATAGCCCAACGAAGTGGCTGATCATGTGGAAATGTATAGCAGCCGAATACTCTAAACGCTTTGTTGATTCTAAATGTGGATGGAAAAACTGGAGGGCCCGGAAAAAAATCCACGCTACCACAAGAAGAGAGACACGCAAACTCCAAATATACAGCAGGCCAGGGACGTGCGGTCAGGGGAGGCAGCGGAGGCAGAGCCTCACCTGCCATACTCCAGTTAAAATAGCTGTTACAAAAAAAAGAATAATCAAATAAAATAAAATCTTTCGCGACTGGTTCTTTCGGTAAAGTCACGTAGGCAGAAAATAAATCACGACGTTTCGGGCGCAACACAAGCGTCCAAGCATCAAGGAGTATAAATAAAATACATATTTAGATGTTTATGCTGATCTGTGTTATAAATGTCATTTCTGTACGATTACAATCATTTTTAAAGTCAAAATCGTCAAATTTGCAGAGCTCCGCTGTAAATACAGGAAGAGACGAGAAGCGAGGCATCGACGCGCTCAGCCTCCCCTCTGATTGCGCAACCCCTCAGTAACTGGATGGAGCGCGGGCAATAAGCCCGTGCCTGTTACTATCTCAGTATGTCACCAATGTAATGTTTGTAGACCCCTTCATTTCATGTCCTCGCCTTCCATACTCCAGGTAACTTATTTCACGTATGTGTTTAAAGATATTTAGGCTCCCTGGTCTCGTCATGAAACTGAAATGAAAAAGCACCAGGGGAGGCAGCTATCACATCTGCCTCACTGAGGGGGACGTGTCTAACACGCCCCCCCTCAGTAAGGACACGTCCCCTCCGTGAGGCCACGCCCCCCTCCGTGAGGCCACGCCCCCCTCAGTGTGTGAATCTGGCTCTGACACTAGCCAGTGCCTCCCCAGCCATTGACCTCACCGCACGTCACTGCAGCAGGCGTCAGGGCCGGGATTGAACCCACGCCCTCCTGCATACCAAGCGAGGCAGTTAACATCTGGCCACCGTGGTGCCCCACTTGTAGCAGTAAGGGAGACATCAGAGAGGAGAGACCCCCCCAACTGAGTTAGGCATGAGTCCGTACAACAGCGAGTTATTTACAGTAAATATAGACGTGTAGGCGCGGTGTCAAATGGAAGTTAAGTTGCAACTACACGGCGCTACCGTAGTGTAAAGCCGGCCAAGAAGGTTATAACTATTTTATTAGGAACTACTTCTTGGCCACGGCTCGATGCCGCGGTAGCGTTGCGCAGCTTCAGGGAAACGCTCGCGTGCAGAACCGTGACGGACACCAGCAGCAGAGAGGGGGGCACCAGGGAGACGTCCGTGGGAGTTGAGAAACCACAGCAGGAGATGGGCGTCAGATAAAAGTCAGTCTCGATTCTAGTACTATTGCGCAGCAGTGTGGTTCAGAAGCTCGTTGCCAACGTCGTGGTCTGCTGCTGGCCACGACGAGAGAGAGAGACTTTGTGTCGTTTTGCAGCTCCTCCTCCGTTAGAGGAGCACAGACTAGAGTGGTTTACTGGACGGTCCACAAGTCAGCCACGTGTAGCCACCAGAGAGACGCCAAGCAGCAGTCACACAAATAAAATACACTAGCAGCAGTAAGACAGACATTAGACAACAGAAGAAGTTCAACATGCACGCAATAGAGAAAGTAAGACATCAGGCAGACGACGGCCAGCCTGTCGGAGCAGTAGGGGCTAGAGAGACACCAGGCAGCAGTGGAACAGACATCAGACAGACACGAGCAGCAAAGTTAGACACCGAGGAGGAACAAAAAAAACAAGGACAAAGGTCCCCCAGACAGCCTTAACAGACTGTTGGGGCAAGTGCTGTTCGCGAGCACCTAAGAAGGCCGGCACGGCACACGAAGCGGTGGGTGGCCAGGACCACGCCCAGCTGCCTTTGTCTCCCCAGTGGCGATGTTTATACACCGTACCAGGTACTCATTTGAGGCTGATTCGACCTAGGGGGAGGCCCCGAGCCGTTTGACATAAATCATCACCGGAGTTGGCCATGAGCGGGGAATCGAACTCGGGCGGCCAGGTTCGTGATGCGGTGCGCTAACCGCTACGACACTACCGCTCCCCTCGGGGGAAGCTGTCGTTGACACAGGCACTATTAGAGATCGCACACTGCAGCTGGGCCATCCGATTATTTAATTCATCGATGACCACCAATTGTTGGTTCAATGACTCGACGCTGTCACCTCTGAGTCACCCGACCACCGCAAAGCATTCACTTGTTCTAAATACGTAACTCAAAATAATAATTTGCGTAGTTGTGGAGAATGTAAAACTACGCTATTAAACTATTTTTTTTATTTTACCAGGTAAGACCGACTGAGCTACGCTCTGTAGCTCTCTTTCAGAAGCGACCTGGCCACAAACGATCGCTCAACGAAGTGGCTTATCGCGTGGGAACTGTATAGCAGCCAAATTACCCCAAACGCGTGACCTTGATTCTCAACGTGTCTCGGGAAAAATCTGGGGGGGGGGGGGGGCCCTCACCGGAGTTGGCGAGCGCTATCGCCTTGAGCAGCACGTACTCCTCCCTCTCGAGGCGCAGCGCCTGGTACTTGCCCACCAAATGGAGCATGGCCTGCGCCAGCTCCTGCAGGCCGGCGCGGCGCGCCAGCCCCTCGCCCAGCACCAGGTCGTCGGCGAAGACGAGCGCGCCGTGGCACGGCAGCGAGCGGAACACGACGCCCAGCACCAGCACCTCCATCCACGCGCTCTGCAGCAGCGACATCTGGTCGCCGAGCGACAGGATGGAGAAGCCTGCGGCGGGGACGGGGGGCGGTGGGAAGGGACGGAGACCGGGGGTCGTCACAGAGCGTTAGCGGGGCCCTTGCCTGTGCCGATAGCGACCGAGTGCGCTGCTACGTTCGAAAAACAAAAGCACTCTTGGTGGCGGGTTTAGCGACGCATTTTTATGTTTCAGTGATCTAACCACAAAAAGAAAAAGCCTCCATTGTGGAAAACCACTATTGGTTTCAAAACTAAATGGTACCAATTTACTTAAGTCCAGAGGGACGATGATGACGACGATGTTCGTGTGCCAAATCGACTGCCAACAACTAGGATTTTAACTAAAAAAAACCTTCCCATTCACACAAAGATTCGTCGTCATCATTATCCTCATCCTCGTCGTCATTTGTAATCCCGTGTTTATCGTCATCATCATCATCATCATCTTCGCCGTCGTTGTTTATCGGCGTGAAGAGCGGTGACTCCACGCTGCAGCCGCGCTCCCTCGGCGGACGGCCGAGCGACGACGCCCTCCTGGCGGTGCGCACGTCCACGGGACAACGCTTGGTCAGCACGCCGGGCGAGCACTCCGGGCGAGCACTCTGAGTGAGCACTCTGAGTGAGCACTCTGAGTGAGCATGCCGGGCGAGCACTCTGAGTGAGCACTCTGAGTGAGCACTCTGAGTGAGCACTCTGGGCGAGCACTCTGGGCGAGCACTCTGAGTGAGCACTCTGAGTGAGCACGCCGGGCGAGCACTCTGGGCGAGCACTCTGAGTGAGCACTCTGAGTGAGCACGCCGGGCGAGCACTCTGGGCGAGCACTCTGAGTGAGCACTCTGGGTGAGCACTCCGGGCGAGCACTCTGGGCGAGCACTCTGGGTGAGCACTCTGGGTGAGCACTCCGGGCGAGCACTCTGGGCGAGCACTCTGGGCGAGCACTCTGAGTGAGCACTCCGGGCGAGCACGCCGGGCGAGCACTCTGAGTGAGCACTCTGAGTGAGCACGCCGGGCGAGCACTCCGGGCGAGCACTCTGGGCGAGCACTCTGAGTGAGCACTCCGGGCGAGCACGCCGGGCGAGCACTCCGGGCGAGCACTCCGAGCGAGCACTCTGAGTGAGCACTCTGAGTGAGCACTCTGAGTGAGCACTCTGAGTGAGCACTCCGGGCGAGCACTCTGAGTGAGCACTCCGGGCGAGCACTCTGAGTGAGCACTCTGAGTGAGCACTCTGAGTGAGCACTCTGAGTGAGCACTCTGAGTGAGCACTCTGGGCGAGCACTCTGAGTGAGCACTCCGGGCGAGCACTCTGAGTGAGCACTCCGGGTGAGCACTCTGAGTGAGCACTCTGAGTGAGCACTCTGAGTGAGCACTCCGGGCGAGCACTCTGAGTGAGCACGCCGGGCGAGCACTCTGAGTGAGCACTCCGGGCGAGCACTCCGGGCGAGCACTCTGAGTGAGCACTCCGGGCGAGCACTCTGAGTGAGCACGCCGGGCGAGCACTCTGAGTGAGCACTCCGGGCGAGCACTCTGAGTGAGCACTCCAGGCGAGCACTCTGAGTGAGCACACTTTGCGAGCACTCCAGGTGAGCACGCGGGGCGAGCACGCTCGGTGGGCATGCCGGGCGGCGGTGGTGGCTTCAGTATCGACTGCCCAGGGGAAACCGCGCCGCGCCGCTGGGACGTGGGATTACCATGAGATTACCATGAGACGTTAACAAAATCAATGTGTGCGGCTCACTCGGGCTGTCTGTCTGCACATTGGCGCTCGCAACGCAGGCAGATGTCGATACGTGTCATCGACACGTGACGACGACGATGACGACGATGCACGTGTGTAGCCCCTCTGTCAATCCACTTCTGGATGACGTTCGCCCCATGGGTTATTTGATCATACTAAAACTATTAAACTATTTTTTTTTAGACTAGGTAAGGCCCCACTGAGCTATATAGCTCTTTTTTCAGAAGCGACCCGGCCACAAATGATAGCTCAACGAAGCGGCTTGTCATCATGTGGCCATTTACAGCAGCCAAATACTCAAAATGCACGTCGATTCTAAATGTGGAGTGAAAAACCGGAGGACTCGGAGAAAAATCTCCGCCACCGTGGGGAGAGAGACACGAACACTCCTCAGCAGATCCTGAGTTGTGGGTGGTAGGCAGTGTGAGCTAAGGGGAGGTAGGTGATGTGAGCTAGGGGGTGGTAGGCAGTGTGAGCTAGGGGGAGGTAGGTGGTGTGAGCTAGGGGGTGGTAGGTGGTGTGAGCTAGGGGGTGGTAGGTGGTGTGAGCTAGGGGGAGGTAGGTGGTGTGAGCTAGGGGGAGGTAGGCAGTATGAGCTAGGGGGTGGTAGGTGATGTGAGCTAGGGGGAGGTAGGCGGTGTGAGCTAGGGGGTGGTAGGCAGTGTGAGCTAGGGGGTGGTAGGTGGTGTGAGCTAGGGGGAGGTAGGTGGTGTGAGCTAGGGGGAGGTAGGTGGTGTGAGCTAGGGGGAGGTAGGCGGTGTGAGCTAGGGGGTGGTAGGTGATGTGAGCTAGGGGGTGGTAGGTGGTGTGAGGTAGGGGGTGGTAGGTGGTGTGAGCTAGGGGTGGTAGGTGGTGTGAGCTAGGGGGAGGTAGGCAGTGTGACCTAGGGGGTGGTAGGTGGTGTGAGCTAGGGGGTGGTAGGTGGTGTGAGCTAGGGGGTGGTAGGTGGTGTGAGCTAGGGGGAGGTAGGTGATGTGAGCTAGGGGGTGGTAGGTGGTGTGAGCTAGGGGGAGGTAGGTGGTGTGAGCTAGGGGGTGGTAGGTGATGTGAGCTAGGGGGTGGTAGGTGGTGTGAGCTAGGGGGTGGTAGGTGGTGTGAGCTAGGGCGAGGTAGGTGATGTGAGCTAGGGGGTGGTAGGTGATGTGAGCTAGGGGGTGGTAGGTGATGTGAGCTAGGGGGTGGTAGGTGGTGTGAGCTAGGGGGAGGTAGGCGGTGTGAGCTAGGGGGTGGTAGGTGGTGTGAGCTAGGGGGAGGTAGGTGATGTGAGCTAGGGGGTGGTAGGTGATGTGAGCTAGGGGGTGGTAGGCAGTGTGAGCTAAGGGGTGGTAGGTGATGTGAGCTAGGGGGTGGTAGGTGGTGTGAGCTAGGGGGAGGTAGGTGGTGTGAGCTAGGGGGTGGTAGGTGGTGTGAGCTAGGGGGAGGTAGGTGGTGTGAGCTAGGGGGTGGTAGGTGGTGTGAGCTAGGGGGTGGTAGGCAGTGTGAGCTAGGGGGAGGTAGGTGGTGTGAGCTAGGGGGTGGTAGGTGGTGTGAGCTAGGGGGTGGTAGGCGGTGTGAGCTAGGGGGAGGTAGGTGGTGTGAGCTAGGGGGTGGTAGGCAGTGTGAGCTAGGGGGTGGTAGGCGGTGTGAGCTAGGGGGTGGTAGGTGGTGTGAGCTAGGGGGAGGTAGGCAGTGTGAGCTAGGGGGTGGTAGGCAGTGTGAGCTAGGGGGAGGTAGGTGATGTGAGCTAGGGTGAGGTAGGCAGTGTGAGCTAGGGGGTGGTAGGTGGTGTGAGCTAGGGGGTGGTAGGCGATGTGAGCTAGGGGTGGTAGGCAGTGTGAGCTAGGGGGAGGTAGGCAGTATGAGCTAGGGGGGGGTAGGTGGTGTGAGCTAGGGGGTGGTAGGCGATGTGAGCTAGGGGGAGGTAGGTGGTGTGAGCTAGGGGGTGGTAGGCAGTGTGAGATAGGGGGAGGTAGGTGATGTGAGCTAGGGGGAGGTAGGCGGTGTGAGCTAGGGGGAGGTAGGTGGTGTGAGCTAGGGGGTGGTAGGCGGTGTGAGCTAGGGGGAGGTAGGTGGTGTGAGCTAGGGGGTGGTAGGCAGTGTGAGCTAGGGGGTGGTAGGCAGTGTGAGCTAGGGGGAGGTAGGCGGTGTGAGCTAGGGGGAGGTAGGCAGTGTGAGCTAGGGGGAGGTAGGTGGTGTGAGCTAGGGGGTGGTAGGCAGTGTGAGCTAGGGGGTGGTAGGTGATGTGAGCTAGGGGGTGGTAGGTGATGTGAGCTAGGGGGTGGTAGGTGATGTGAGCTAGGGGGAGGTAGGCAGTGTGAGCTAGGGGGTGGTAGGTGATGTGAGCTAGGGGGTGGTAGGTGATGTGAGCTAGGGGGAGGTAGGCAGTGTGAGCTAGGGGGAGGTAGGCGGTGTGAGCTAGGGGGAGGTAGGCGCACCCGGCACGTGCTTGGCCCAGCCGATGATGAGCACGAGCTCGCGGTCGGCGAGGTCGCACAGCGTGGTGAGCGCTGTGACGTCACACTCGGCCGCCCCGGGCCCCGCCATGGCGAACAGGCGGTCGGGTTCCACGACGAGCAGCTGGGAGACCATCTTGTTGACTGGCGGGCGGACGTGGGGAGACATAACATCGATGCAGAGAGACAGAAGAGGAGTGAAGGGTAGAAAGGCAAGAAGTTAGCTGGCGCGGTTAGCTACAGGTAGTTTTCGTTAGAGACAGACGTGGGCAAAGTACGGCCCCCGGGCCGTACTTTGCCCGTTGGGCTTTTTAATCCAGCCCGCCGAACTTGTCCAAATATTAAATTAAATGTTACCTTTCTCCTGTAATGCCCCCATTTCCCCATTAGATGGCGCACTTTGACCGGGAGTTACGACGTGTTTTTGTATTGTTCATGTTCGTGCAATTTGTTAAATTGCCTTGCAAATAAATGATTTGCTACCTGTTAAAGGCCAAATCGTTTCATGTAACGATGTTTACATGCAATTTATATTAGTTCACACAAACACTCCATCCATCTGTTCCTGGCCCGGCCCCTCTGTCAAGGTTTAGAACCCATTGTGGCCCGCGGGTCAAAAAATTTGCCCACCCCTGTTATAGATAGACGCGGGATTGGAGTCAAGGGGTGGCCTCATGAGGTCAAGGCCAAAAGCATTTTATGACTAGGCCGGTGTGAAGGCCACATCCTCCTCAGCTATGAGGTTCGGAAACTGCCAAACGCTTTGAACAAAATTCATAAATGACATCTGCGTAACCTCACAGTTGCATATTAGATTAATGTTTGTTAAAATATTTTTAATTGGCAATCAGTCAATGTTAAGCAATGTAAAGATATCAGTGGTTACGAGAGACATCTGAGTAATTGAAGTGTCAGGGAAGAGATTTGAGACGTGGTCCCAAAACGACACAAACAGCAACAGATAGACAACAACACAGACAACAACACATACAACAACACAGACAACAACTCAGACAACAACACAGACAACAACACAGACAGACAACAACACAGACAACACAGACAACAACACAGAAAACAACACAGACAGACAACAACACAGACAGCAACACAGACAACAACTCAGACAACAACACAGACAACAACACAGACAGACAACAACACAGACAACAACTCAGACAACAACACAGACAGACAACAACACAGACAACAACACAGACAACAACTCAGACAACAACACAGACAACAACACAGACAGACAACAACACAGACAACAACACAGACAACAACACAGACAGACAGACAACAACACAGACAGACAACAACACAGACAGACAACAACACAGACAGACAGACAACAACACAGACAACAACACAGACAACAACACAGACAACAACACAGACAGACAACAACACAGACAACAATACAGACAACAACACAGACAACAACACAGACAGACAGACAACAACACAGACAGACAACAACACAGACAGACAGACAACAACACAGACAACAACACAGACAACAACACAGACAGACAACAACACAGACAGACAACAACACAAACAACAACACAGACAACAACTCAGACAACAACACAGACAACAACACAGACAACAACACAAACAACAATACAGACAGACAAAAACACAGACAACAACACAGCCAGACAACAACACAGACAACAACACAGACAACAACACAGACAGACAACAACACAGACAGACAGACAACAAAACAGACAACAACACAGACAGTAACACAGACAACAACACAGACAGACAACACAGACAACAACACAGACAACAACACAGACAACAACACAAACAGCAACACAAACAACAACACAAACAACAACACAGACAGATAGACAACAACAGAGACAACAACACAGACAACAACACAGACAGACAACAACACAAACAGCAACACAAACAACAACACAGACAGATAGACAAAAACAGAGACAACAACATAGCCAGCAACACAAACAGCAACACAGACAACAACACAGGCAGACAACAACACAGATAGACAACAACACAGACAGACAACAACACAGACAACAACACAGACAACAACACAAACAACAACACAGACAGACAGACAGACAATAACACAGACAACAACACAGATAGACAGACAACAACACAGACAGACAACAACACAGACAACAACACAGACAACAACACAGACAACAACACAAACAACAACACAGACAGACAGACAACAACACAGACAACAACACAAACAACAACAGAGACAACAACACAGACAACAACACAGACAACAACACAGACAGACAACAACACAGACAACAACACAGACAACAACACAAACAGCAACACAGACAACAACACAGACAGACAACAACACAGACAACACAGACAACAACACAGACAACAACACAAACAACAACACAGACAGACAGACAGACAATAACACAGACAACAACACAGATAGACAGACAACAACACAGACAGACAACAACACAGACAACAACACAGACAACAACACAGACAACAACACAAACAACAACACAGACAAACAGACAACAACACAGACAACAACACAAACAACAACAGAGACAACAACACAGACAACAACACAGACAACAACACAGACAGACAACAACACAGACAACAACACAGACAACAACACAAACAGCAACACAGACAACAACACAGACAGACAACAACACAGACAACACAGACAACAACACAGACAACAACACAGACAACAACACAAACAGCAACACAGACAACAACACAGACAGACAACAACACAGACAGACAACAACACAGACAACAACACAGACAACAACACAGACAGACTGACAACAACACAAACAACAACACAGACAACAACACAGACAGACAGACAACAACAGAGACAACAACACAAACAGACAGACAACAACACAGACAACAACACAGACAACAACACAAACAACAACACAGACAACAACACAGACAACAACACAGATAACAACACAGACAGACAACAACACAGACAACACAGACAGACAACAACACAGATAGACAGACAACAACACAGACAGACAACAACACAGACAACAACACAAACAACAACAAAGACAACAACACAGACAGACAAGAACAGAGACAACAACCCAAACAACAACACAGACAACAACACAGACAGACAACAACAGAGACAACACAAACAACAACACAGATAACAACACAGACAGACAGACAACAACACAGACAACAACACAGACAACAACACAGACAGACAGACAACAACACAAACAACAACACAGACAGACAACAACACAAAAAACAACACAGACAACAACACAGACAGACAACACCAGAGACAACAACACAGACAACAACACAGACAGACAACAACACAAACAACAACACAAACAGCAACACAGACAACAACACAGACAGACAACACAGACAACAACACAGACAGACAACAACACAGACAACAACACAAACAGACAACAACACAGACAACAACACAAACAACAACACAAACAGCAACACAGACAACAACACAGACAGACAACAACACAGACAACACAGACAACAACACAGACAGACAACAACACAGACAACAACACAGACAACAATACAGACAACAACACCAGAGACAACAACACAGACAACAACACAGACAGACAAACAGACAACACCAGAAGACAACAACACAGATAGACAACAATCACTGGTGCACACAAAGACAGACAAGAACGTATAAATCAGAAATACGAACACACACAGACATAGCAGATACATCGAGATGGGAGAACTTAACGAAAGCATAGATGAAACAACCCTCACCGCAGTCCATAATATACATTTTTGTTGTTGGATTATATCATGTAAATATAAATGTGTCGTTAAACCCGCCACCACCTGACACAGCCAACTAGTAAGGTTTGTCACGTAAACAGAACGTGGCCAATTCGTCACTAGTACAGCACACCGGTGTGTAGTGTATAGTGTAGTGTATAGTAGTGTGTAGTGTAGTATACTAGTACAGCACTAACCGGTGTGTTGGAGAGCCAAGCCACAACATTTACAATCTGAGTACGACGTTTCGCCAGTAATTACAACTAGCTTCATCAGGCGACAGCCAGATTTATGGAGAAGTCCACCTCTTTCGTCCTTTAAATAGAGGGATTCGTACTCTGATTGTAAATGTTGTGGATTTGCTCTCCACCACACCGGTGTGCTGTACTAGAAACGAATTGGCATGTTCTGTTTACGTGACAAACCTTACTAATTGGCTGTGTCGGGTTTAACGACACATTCATATTCACGTGATCTAATCCAACAAAAAAAAAACCTAAATGGATATTGGTCGCGAAAGCCTACGTGTTAAACCTCACCACAGTGTTCAGTCACACTGTTTACTGACAGAAGCAAGTCAACTAGAATTTGTTATTTTTTTTTTACCAGGTAAGGCTCACTGAGCTATATAGCTCCTTTTCAGAAGCGACCCGGCCACACAAATGATAGCTCAACGAAGTGACTTATCACGTGGACATGTATATCAGCCAAATACTCTAAAACGCATGTTTCTAAATGTGGAGGGGAAACCAGCGAACCTGTACAAAAATCGACGCGACCGCTGGCGGAGAGATATCGCAAACTCCAAATATACAGGCGTCGGGATCGAACCAACGATCTCCTGTATAGTTAACGTCTCGCCACCGTGACTCACGTTGTGGGTGCAGATGTGGGTCAGTGATTCGCGCATCGTGCCACCAACCTGGTGGCCCGAGTTTTAATTCCAGGGCACGGCTAAAATGAGTGGCGAGTGATGTCTGAAGAGGTCCTGGCCACTCCCTTCGCCAACCATGAACTGATGAAATATGGGGCCTTCAACCAGCAGTGGACTGACAAAGGGTTGGTCAATGGCCCTTCAGAGCAGAGAGGGCAACCAGAATATTGTGGCAGTTTTAGGTGGAGAATGTGGAATTTCCGCCACTTGCTCGTGGTCACCAAGAGAGGTGAGTGCCCACCGATGGCTCGTCTGTGTGGGCAGAGACGCTGCGGCTTGGGTTGGCAGGTACAGCTGGCAAAGCCGCGTCTTGGGGAAAGTTTTTAAAATAAAAAATTGGAGACGTGCTGTCGTTGAAATTTTAGAGGTGGATAATAAACAAATGGTTTGAACGCTGATTTGCTCAGTCACCTGGGATGCGGCTGACCTCGGCTGATCTCGGAGTTGGGCAGCAGATGGCAGTGCAGCAAGATTTGTGGTTATAGTTACTTGTGAATAAACGCCGACAAAGTGATTAATGTCTGAACCTCTTCTGGGCGACTCCTCTTTTCCGTGTACAAACGTGAAAGCATGACATGAGCCGTCGCGCGTTAAAGTGATGCTGACTTGATGCAACGAATGACATTAACCCTAACCCCTGGTCCTGCTTGACCACGAGCCCGGATTCAGACGCCTTAATGTGAGGCCAGCGTAGCACGGTTTTGTCCCGGCTCGGCTCAGCATTGTTGCCAGCAGAAAACCACCCCGTACTGCAATCGGCGCCACAACTGGCGTGGCTCGGATATGCCAGTGGGAAAGGGGTATAACCAGGCCCGGACTGCCCTATGGCCGGTGGACCGGTCTGTGTGGGGAAATTAAAAATGTGATTAGAGTAAAAAATATATATTTAAATAAATATTGCATTACCTCTGTGTACGCTTCAATTGCTTATTTACGCTCTCAGTTGGCTATTAAGTCCACATATGCAGCAGCCCCCAAAGATCATTGCTCACCGGCCACCCATTTGTGTTTTGGACCCAGCCCCCAAATTGGCCCAATGAGATCCCACTGCAGTTTGGGGCCCATGGTGTGTGCTTCACAAATGCCTGGGCCGATTTTTAGTCCCAGTCCGTCACTGTGTGCAATAAGGCAACCCTTCGGGTACACACGGGCCGCTCAGCAATGCCCACAACGGGCAGCGGAATAAACTCAACGAGTGGCAAAATCCTCACCGGGTCGCTTTACGGGCTGCAAGGCGGCGGCGTCGGTGGGTGGCTGCAGGAGACCGCCGCTCTCCGTGTCAATCCGGCGTTTGTATTTCTGTCGGCCCCCACGCACCCTGTCGAGACGCACGCCTGCACGAGGAGACACACAGATCCCCCCTGTAACAACGTGGCTTCATGCACGATCGTTGGGGGCGAGCGTTGTTAAGCGAGCAGCATCCGTCAGGGCCGGCATGGCACACAATGGGGTGGGTAGGGTGGCCGGCATCACGCCCAGCCGACTTTGTCTTCCAAGTGCTGATGTTTATATACACTGCAACCAAGTACCGATTTAGGGCTGAATTCATATAGAGGAGGCCCAAGACTGGTTCAAATATTCACGACTGTTATTTGTCACGAACGGGAATGGAACTTGGGTGGCCGGGCTTAGTAGTGCAATCCACTAAACGTTGCACCACCGCTCCCCGTAACAAAGGCAACAATCCCCCGTATAGCCTTAACATATTGTAGGAGCAAGTGCCGTTAGCGAGCACCTATGAAGGCCGGCACGGCACACGAGGGGATGAGTGGCTAACACCACGCCCGGCCGCCTTTGTCTCCCCAGTGGCGATGTTTACTACACCGCACCAGCTACTCGTTTGAGGCCGAGTCGAGAATCGAACCCGGGTCACCAGCTTCGTAGCGCAGCAGCGCGGTGACCGCGACGCTACCGCTCCCCCAACATCGCCGCTCCATCGCCACCCAACGCGCACGCCAACGCACACCGAGCCGAGCCACGCGGCCACCCATCGACGGCGCTGCTGCTGCTGGGCCGTGTGTACGGTGCCGTCTGCTGCTGCTGCTGGGCCGTGTGTACGGTGCCGTCTGCTGCTGCTGGGCCGTGTGTACGGTGCCGTCTGCTGCTGCTGCTGGGCCGTGTGTACGGTGCCGTCGGCCTCGCGCACAAATCTCCTGAGAGCGGGGGCACAAGCGGCCGGTGCGGTGCCACCGTGGTGGCTGGGTGACGGCCTCTGCCCTGGCCTCCCCCACCCATCTCCTCTCTCTCTCTTTCTCTCTCTTTTGGTTTACGATCGCAGGAAACTGTCTCTCTCTCACCTTCCTTGAGCATGCCCACTCGGAGGCACTTTGCGAAGCGGCACGCCTGGCACGACTTGCGCCGGCGCTTGGTGATCTCGCACTCGCTCGCCGCAGGGCAGCTGTACTCGATGTTACCTGCGCCCGCGCACAAATGGCAAAGATCCCCCGCATAGCCTGTAACAGACTGTTGGGGCAAGTGCTGTTCGCGAGCGCCTATGAAGGCCGGCACGGCACACGAGGGGGTGCGTGGCCAGCAGCATGCCCGGCCGCCTTTGTCTCCCCAGTGGCGATGTTTACTACACACCGCATCAAGTACTCTTTTGAGGCTGAGTAGACCTAGGGGTGGCCCGGGACCGTTTCAGATAATCGTCACCGGTGTAGGTGGCCGTGAGCGGGAATCGAACTCGGGTGGCCGGGGTTCGTAGCGCGGCGTAGCGCTAACCGCTACACCACCGCTCCTCACACGCAAACGCAGAGACAACGATCCCCCCGGGGAGCCTAGGCACACTCGTGGAGCAAGCGTTGCTGCGAGCGAGCGCCTGGGAAGGCCGGCACGGCGTGGGCAGGCGCCGCGCGCCTCCTCGCCCCCGCGCTTTGTCACCCACATCACCGCGCAAGGATTCTCGCGCTCTGTGGCAGCGCTGAAGAAGTCCCCGACACTCACACCGCAGTCTCCACACTTGCCCTGCCATAACGTCTAAAACGTCAAGTAAAAATCCCCTTCTTTGCTTTCCGGTTACTTTTTTTTTGTACTTGCTGCTAAAACTTTCTGGTGCAATGCGTTGCACGCGTTGCTATTTATTCTGCTCGGTTGGTGTTAGCCACCGAGGTCGTGACCGGGTTTCTTGTTTTTCATTCCTGTGGCTCCGTCACCCCCCCTCCCCACAATCCCCGGTACCGTTCCGCTACAGTTCGCACCGATGCACTACTTTATTGGCACGTGAAATAAAGATCGATCGATCGAGAGGTTCACTGCGATTGAAATTGTGCTGATGAGAAGTGCCCCCCCCCCCCCCCCCTGGTGTTGGCGACGTTTATCCGCCGGAGGAAGGCACCAACCCAGGATGAGACCGCGTCAAGGCAGGATTTGAGCGTGGACAGCAGTGAGGTTGGGTTCATGTCGTCAGTGGCGACTTAAGAGCCCCGGACATCGTCGGCATAGGGGCGGATGGTTTTTAAAGTCAGCAGCAGCCTCCTGCTTGCACGGGCAGAGTTGGCAACAGCGGTGGATCCAAGGAATGAGGCGGTGAAGGGGGCAAGTTACCCAACGTCTTGAGACTCGGAAACCGATAGTTCAAATTTAATGTGCAATGTTATTGAGGGGCTGTGTGTCCTTGTCCTGGTGTGGTCTGGGACTGTTATTGCTGTTGTTTTTGCTGCCTTGCCCAAGCTTGGCAATTGGTGTACTTATGCAGTTTGAACTTATATAATTTCTCTATTTCAGGTATTTATTTTGAGTGATTTGCCTACCTTTCCTATACTTTGCACTCCTGTAATTTATTGTAGTATTGTTTGTTGTTGTAACGTTCTGACCCACCCCGACTGGACATCCGTGAAAAAAGAGCTTCAAAGCTCATCGGGTTTCTCCAAGGATAAATAAACATTCTGATTCTGACATTGTATTGATAATAACCCAAAGAAAATACACCGAATGCTTCGCTTAATGATTGTAGACAGGGCCTTGTTTAAAGTGTCCCACCCCGCAGGTGTGAAAGTGGGCGACTCGACTCCGACAACCCACCCTGGATGGTCCGCTTGAAGAAGGCCTTGCAGGCCTCGCACGAGGCCACGCCGTAGTGGTAGCCGGAGGCCACGTCGCCGCACACCAGGCACAGCTTCTTGGGCACGGGCGGCCCGTGCAGTGCAAAGGCCTCGCAGGCCGAGCGGCCGCCAACGCCGACCCCGAGCCCTGGGGCCAGAGGCCCTCGCGGGAAACCCGCCCCGTGGTTGGCGTTGCCACCTCTGAGGTAGAACGAGAGACAAAAGCGACAACAACGGACACGCATGGTGGCAGCTGCAGCAGCAGCAGCAGCAGCGGGAGGGATTATCTCACGATAGATATTGGAAGAAGGGGGAACTTGGTGTGTCAACGGATCGCTACGTACGGTGCGAAATAAGTTCAACACACAGTTTGTTCTCCTGTAACGAGGGAGTTGCTTTCCTGAGGAATACCGCGTTATAAAAAAAAAATCTCGTTATAACAAATAATGTATAACATAGGGTAAAGCGCAGTCCGCGATAACACGTGAGATGCGTACGGAGGCTGAGCAAAGACTGAGGCGAGTGGGTAGCATCTAGAAGCATCCAGCAGCATCCCGCCTTGTGTGATGATGCTACGCCGAGGCAGCCGTACCACCGCTTAGTCCTACTCGCGCGACGTTGTTCCCTTCACTCGATCGCGTTATATCCAATTCGCATCCGCGTTATTAAAAAATTAACGTGTTCCCGATACATTAATCGCGTTATATCCAATTCGCGTTATGAAAACAACACGCGGCATTCCAGGAGAACGGACCGTACATACGTACGTCTTGATTGGGGCATTTGTATGCAACTGACGCAACCCCACGCGTTTTAGAGATTTAGGTACCAAGTTGATTTTGTTGAACCAGCTGAGGAAGTCCAGACAGCACGCTAGAGTGTTGTGTGCAAGAGTGACCTCGCGCGAAAGCAAAAACGTAAGAACAAGTTGAGAAAATGAAGCGATGAATGCAAATAAGAAACAGAGCAAAAAATAAAGGAGGAAAAAAATTCGAAAACAATGCACGGACATAATATTGAAATAATTTAGAGTAACGAAAGTTGGCTCAGACAAGTTACTAAAAAAAAACTCATCAATTTTATTTTCTGAAACATCAAAACATTTTAATTTAGGGCGAGTATCCCACTTGCATGCAAGCAACTTGGGAAGACTTAAGACATTTGCAGTTTGTTTGCATAATAATAATAACGACGACGACGACGACAACCCTGGGAAAACCGGGCCAGGTGGCAACCCTACCCGTGGTGCACGTGGCCGGGGTGCCCCGACCCTCGCAGCCTCTCCCCCTCCCCCTCCTCCTCCTCGCCCCCGGAGCCGGGGCTGCCCCTGTCCATGGGACGCGGCCGCATTGGCGGCGGCGGCGGCGGCGGCAGCGGTGGGCCGTGGCGGTCGTGCGGGGCGCCGTGCGGCTCCGTGTGGTGAGAGCCGCCGCGGTGATGCCCCCCGTTGGCCGGCGGCCCGAGTCGGTGGTCCAGGTGGAGGAGGCCGCCGGGTTGGCCTCGCACGCCGCCGCCGCCTCCGCCGCCGCACGACGGCGGGGTCAGCGGGGAGCGCTGAGGGGGTGACGCCCGCTCCTGGGGCTCGTGTTTCACGAACGCCGAGTGGTGGCCGGGGCCGAGCGGCGCTGGGGGTGCGGCGAGCGGCTCCGCGCGCCGGTCGCCGGTGCCGGGACACACCCGGCCCAGCAGCCTGCACGCACACAAAGACCACCACCCACCCCCCCCAGTGTGTAGCTTGAATAGACTGTTGGGGCAAGTGCTGTGAGCGAGTAGTCGTAGTGGTACCTGTGAACATGTAAACGCTGGCACACGAGAGGGTGGGTGGCCGGCACCACGCCCCGGAAGCCTTTTTACACACCGCGCCAGGTGCTCATTTGAGGCTGAGTCGACTTAGGGGAGGCCCACGACCGGTTCAGAGAATCGTCACTGGTGACGGTTATTGACACAGACTCGCGCGCAAGTCGGAGAGCCGATGTCAACAATTATCGAAATTCAGCAGTAAGATGTCTTCAGCCAATAAATTAGTCTCGTTCATACGGGAAACACGACGGCACCGGGTTTGTAAAGTTGCGATGATCAGAAAGACGGATGGCAGGCGGATGTCATGATTGAGGAACTCTCAAAAGTGCAGCAATGTTGTTGATTTTTACTTTAAGTACAGCGAAGTGCGTAAATGATCCGATGGAATTGAGAAACTGATATCGCGATGATTGTCATATCATGAAAATGTAAATTGTATTGTGATAAACAATATTGCGGCCACCCTAATACCGTTCAGTCCGCACATACACTTAGAGATATCGACACACACATTGTTTGCATTATAGACACATTTGGCAGTTTTGGATAAAATGTCTTAATTTTTTCGGGTTTTATTGATGTGGTTGTTTATCATTAACGTTGTTTAACAGTTATATTATAATATATGGATATAATGTTCATTATACAGCTGACTCAAAAAATGAGCTTTTTTCATCTGTAGATGCTGGGGTAACTAATAACTCTTGCAACGATGATCCAATACCAATTCAATTTTAAATTGTTCCATGGGCCTAAAGGGGAAAATCAACAATACCGAGTTCACATTACTGCTATAAGTCGTATACAAGTTATAGCACGGTTGGCTAGGTACGGTGCGAAAGAAGTTCAGAATGGCGTACATAAGGCCCACAAAGAATCGGTTCTTACACGCGTGACTGTGGTCGAGACTACGAGCGATGGAGTTTTGGCAGCCAACGGAGGAGAAGAGTTTTTGAGCGATGCAACGAGCCCGTGCTCAGGAGCTGCTGCGGATTGTTAACATGGCAGGATCAGTCATCAATAATTACACGCTCATTACACACAAAGTGCTTGCCACAAATGAACCACAATGCCTCGCTGGTCTCGTCCATGAGCGTAACACCATCAGCGGCGTTTGGCTCAACTATCGAACCAAGACGGTGGTGACCGCATCGCGCGCTTTCTAATGCTCTATTATTATAGTACTATACCGCCTTCAACTGAGGTAGCTGATGAGCGAGTGGATCAGCGAAAACCCGTGAATGGGGGAATGAATGAATGAGTGACGTCGATGAATGAGTGACCATTTGAGAGGATGCGGAGTGAATGAGACCTTCGCGCTCTACGAGTTATTTTCAACGAGTTCCACTTCGGCGGAACGTCTGAACGTCTGTCGCCAGCAGATGTGGCCACGTCAGCTGCTGCTGGTGACCATGCAATGGTACACGGGTATAGGTATGCAGGTAATTCAGGTACACGGGTATAGATATTCAGGCACACAGGTATAGGTGTTCAGTTCATCCAGGTACATGGGTATGCGTATTAAGGTAATACAGGTACACGGGTATAGGTACACATACACTTCCTGTGGACAGTTTGTATTATTAAATTACACAGGTGTGCTAGCCATACCTATCAGCGCATAGATGGCCAATCATCGTACGTATAATGTATAGTTGCCATCTGAGTTACACACCTCAACGTAATCGATACATTGTATATAAATTACACGAGACTTAATTGGTCATTTGTAATTGCGATATTGTGTCCATCTCTGCACGAGTAAAACTAGGGGTAAGATATGTGGCGACTAGTACCAATGTGCCCATGTACTTAAGCGTGCACCTGCACGCAACGTAACACCTGCATTGGTGAATACACACCTCTACCGCACACCTAGTCATCGGTAACGCTGGACCAACCGACTGCGTTGCCTGCTGGATAGCCGTTATTGAACACTTTCAATGAACCGATTCAACCGATATTCAACGGCATAGGTGATTAAGTTTACCGATAATTTACAGCTCTTCGTCAATCCACTGATGGATGAAGGCCTCCTGAAACCGTGCGGTTCATGGGGGGTGTTTGACCATACTTCACCACGCCGGTCAATGCGGGTTTTAGTGACTGCGGCGCCAGATGATATCAGTCGCTACTGGTGCCAGACGTTGCCGGGAATCAATCGCGGGTCGCTGTGGTCGCAGCGCTGTGCGCTAACGACCGCTCCATCGCTCCACCCACTCAAATGGTATAAACCACCGCACCAATTTGCACAGCTGCACGAATTCGTCCACGTAAATTGATATACATGTGCTGTTACACCTGCACTGACTTAGCGCTCCTGCACTGATCAATATACCTGGAATAATTGGTACACACACACACACACCTGTGTGTGTGTGTGTCTCTATATGCTACGGCTCTCTTGATTACAGTCTGGTTTGTGTCACCTCGATCAGTCAACCCGCTTGTGTTAATCGCTCCACCCGTACCGAACATAGACACGAGGCCGAGTTGGTCCTTCTCTTCGTTTGTTGTCCTTCCCATGCACCTGCGATTATCACGATTGACTGTGTACGGTGCGACAGAAGTTCAACATACGTACAGATCTCGGAAGCTAAGCATAGTCGAGCCTGGATAGCGCTTGGATTGACGGCCAACGTGCACAAACTGGGTGCTAAAGGCGGTTGGCTTCAGGGCAGCAAGAAGGCAGTGCCCCGAAATCTATCGTTGTACGGTACGTCTATGCGCCACCGCCTTCATCAACCGCGTGTCGATAAGCGTGTGGACGGTATGGTATTCACGTGTGATATGCACCGCACATCGGGTGAGGACGAGAGTACGTATACTGGAGTGTAAAATGCGCCCGTGGTACATGGTTGTACATGTGCACGTGTACCACGTGCACCACGTGGTACACGTTGTGCACGTGGTGCACGTTGTACACGTGGTGCACGTGGTGTCCGTCTCGACGGGTTTTTATTTTTGGGTCGGTGAATTTTTTTTACAAATAATTAATACATTAATTATCGCCCCCATATTTACATCTGCGCTGAATTGTACACAGTATATACGTGCTCATTTGTATACATAATTAGTGCATTGTGTTAATTGGTACACGTGTTAGACACCAGTTTTTCTATACGAGTAAACACATTATTGATAAACAGATGTTCAACTTCTTTCGCACCGTACGTAGCCAACCGTGCTAATCGGAGGTGCGGGGGGAGGACAGCACTTACACAGACCCATACGCATGGACGGTATCGACTTCGGGGATTTCCTTCCGAGTGCCTGGATCTCGTCCTGAAGATGCTTGACGCAGTTTCAATCGAACGGTCGCCTTATCCATTTGACTGGGGAGAATTCAAACTCGCCCGGGGTTCGTAAGGCAGCGCGCTAACCACTGCGCCACCGTTCCCCACGGTCACCACAGTACAATTTCACTTGTGCTACTTTGTCGGGTGGCGGAGGGTCTTTACGACACATTTGGCCAGATCATTGCGTGGCCTAACCCACAATTGCATTCTGGTAAACCTTTTACTGATGTTGACTGATGTGCCCACACCAATTGCTGGGTCCAGAAGTGATGAATAGCAATCTGCGCTGAATGGAACACATGTCGTAGGTAATGGATGAGTTTCGAATTAAAGCTTTCGTGACTGCAAGGATTCTTCTACTTTGGTTCTTTCGGTAAAGTCATGTAGAATGAGAATAAAATAAGAAATTAATAAAATAAAATAACACAATAAAATTCCCGCGACGTTTCGGCCACAACACAAGAAGAAGGCCGCTTGTGTTGTGGCCGAAACGTCGTGATAATTTTTATTTTATTAATTTATTATTTTATTCTCATTCTACGTGACTTTACCGAAAGAACCAAAGAAAATGGGTGAGTTATCGCGTCCCTTGTCCTTGTGTATCGATGGGAATCTCACTGCTCACGTCGGTACTCACGCACTCATCCGCACTCCTGCGTTCATCGCCACACTTAGGGTACTAATCGCTATTATATACCGAGCGAAACTCTTTGCAATGGACACATATGGACGTTATAAAAATTCGTTTTTGAGATATAATGTAATGTAAGTAATGCAATCGATTACTATACCAATTATCGGTTCGATTACTCGACTTATTGGATATCAACATTAACCAGACGGCGCATAACCTATTTATATATTTGTGAGAGTTTATCACGTGTAGCGGCGTCTACTGTAGATGTAAAAAAAACATTAAAAAAATCATAATCATCATGATTGTTCTTCTCGACCCTGGAAATTCTTACAGTCTCGTGACTTTTTGATCCAGGGAGTTTGAAGTACAGAGCGATTAGTGCGATGATCTTCTTGATTCTTTCGGTAAAGTCACGTAGAAGGGAAATAATAAAATAATAAAAATAAAGCATTCTATTTTTTAAACGTAACATTTCATTATGTTTCATTTTTATTATTTTATTTTTTCCCTTCTACGTGACTTTAAGAACCATGAAGATGAATCCCTGCAGTCACGAAAGCT